AGTGGAAGAGGAGCTTTGTGCTCTGTCTTCTGCTTGCTTGGGGACTGAGCTCAGGATGCTGTGCAGCCAATATTGCTTTGTTGGGGAGATCCTGAGGTCCTGGACTGGGGGTTTGAGGAGTTTGGGGGTACATGACCTCATCCAAGGCAGTGCAATGTCCTGTGTCCATTTCTCTGTCCAGCATCACTCACTTGGCTGTACTGATGGTCTGAGAGCTCAGTTCCCCAGACAGGCCAGAACCACAAGCCCTGAGCAGGCTGTGGGCTCTATGTGGGGCTGATTCCCATGTGTTGCTGCTGCACTGGGAGCATCGTGCTATGGGAGGAGCCCTCAGCTTTGGGCTGCTTGTTTGGAGCAAACATGAGTGGCTGAGGCACCCAGGCATGGAGGTGTTCCTGTCCTTTCAAAGGACACAGCATCTGCTGACCCCAGGGATCCTTTCAGTTCCAGGGAGGAGTGTGGTCCCTCAGCACAGTGCTGTGTGATGCCCTCATGACCATGGATGTGATGCTGTGCACGGCCTCCATCTTCAACCTGTGTGCTATCAGCGTGGATCGGTGAGTGGCTTCCTGCTCTGGCTGTGCCTGGGCAGCACACTGCTTCCGTAGGCCCTTTCCAGTGGAATCCTCCCAAGCAGGGAGGATTCTGCCCTCCCCTAAGGAGGCTGTTCTGCCCTAACATCCTCCACCATCAGGTTTGTGTCCCATGAGTGGTGGCCAAGCTGAAACTTGTGTGATGACCCAGAGCTGTCCCTTGGCTGTTGTGGCTGTAGCCCAGGCCTTGGCTGTTAGTAAAGTGAATTAATGGGGGGAAGGATGGTGGCAAGGAGTTTGGGGTCCCTTGGTTACATTACCACGATGCCACCACCACACCAGGACTGACTCACCCGGGGCTGTGTTGGCAGGTTCATCGCTGTTCAAATCCCACTCAACTACAACCGGCGGCAGATCGACCTGCGGCAGCTGATCCTTATATCCACCACCTGGATATTCGCCTTTGCTGTGGCATCCCCAGTCATATTTGGCCTCAACAATGTCCCAGACCGGGACCCCAGCTTGTGCCAACTGGAGGATGACAACTACATCGTGTATTCCTCCATCTGCTCCTTCTTCATCCCATGCCCTGTCATGCTGGTTCTGTACTGTGGCATGTTCCAAGGACTCAAGCGCTGGGAAGAAGCCCGGAAGGCCAAGCTGAGAGGCTGCATCCACGGAGCCAACAGGAAGCTCTATCACCCCCCAACCTTGATGGAGAGAGAGCAGACCCGGCTGGGGCTGCTGGAGTGCAGCCCCTATGCCCGTGCCGGCCTCCCTGGGGAGTGTGGGATGAACAGTGGGATCCAGACTGTGTCCTACCCACACCTCAGGTACCCGCACCCAGGGCACGGGCGCAAGCAGGCCAAGATCAACGGCCGGGAGCGCAAGGCCATGCGGGTGCTGCCGGTCGTGGTCGGTGAGTGGCTGTCAGGGATGGCTGGGGAGAGTGGGAAATGTGCCACCTTGTCATACCATAGCACTCAGACTGGCAGGGCCTGGGCCAATCCAGAGCAGTGCCAAAACTCACCACCCTTGGGAAAGAACACATACACATATAGACACATACAGTGTCTGTAACACAACCTCCCTCCAAGGCAAACCTGTGACTCCCAATATCTTACATTCAAAGCCAAAGCAAGACTAACTTAAGACTTTTCATCAAAGTTTAGGACAGGAATAATATCCCAATTTTTTGTCTGGGCATAAGCCCAGCTCCATGTGTTAGCACAACTGCTGCCTTTTCCCTGAGTGCCCAAGCTGTGTCTGTCTTTTTTGGCTCAGACTTTGTTAAATTAAACCCTTTTGAACATTCACATCACCTTCTCTCTTTATTGTCCTCCTGGCAGGTGCTTTCCTCTTCTGCTGGACACCTTTTTTTGTGGTGCACATTACCAGGGCGCTCTGCAAGTCCTGCTCCATCCCCCCTCAAGTCACCAGCACTGTCACTTGGCTGGGCTACGTCAACAGTGCTCTCAACCCCATCATTTACACCGTGTTCAACGCCGAGTTCAGGAACTTCTTCCGCAAAGTCTTGCACCTCTTCTGCTGAGCCCTCTGCGCAGGAGGAACCACTGGGTCATTTTTTGTATAGTTCATTAAAGATCTATTTCTGCCTCTGGCCTGCTGTCTTTGTTGGGGATGAGGGCCCGATGAGCAGAGCTGGCAGCTGAAGGAAGAGGCTCCCCAGGTCCTTGCAGTAAGGTGTTACAGGTGAGGGCCAGTGGATGCAGCCTGGATCCTCTTCCCAGCGGAACTGCCAAGTGTAGCCTCTTCTTTAGCAGTTGCTGTTTGATGTAAGCAGGGATAATAATTGTAATTTCTAATCTTCTGGCTTCTGGGGTGATATTAACAGGGCTGTGAGGTGACAGGGACATGAGTCTGGGGGAAAAAAAGGCTGTTTAAACTAATTTCCCAGACGTCCACATACCAGACAAGGGTACCAAGCTCATTTCCAGATGTCCATATGCAGGTGAGGGTGAATCTACCTATGCAATCTCTTTTCCCCTTATCCTTGATAATTTTAAACCCAAAACCTGATTTCACTCATGTTTAACAAGGGTCTTACAAAGGCATCATAGTGTTATTGCTAGTGCTCCAGAATTTCTTGTGAAGCCACACAATTCCTGCCAGGAACCATTTCCAGCCTCAGGAAAAAATCCTTCATACGTTTAGGTGAACCTGCATGCAGTGACAGCCACAGTGGCCAGTGGGACAGGTGATGCTTGTCGCTGAGGCTCAGAGGGGAGAAAAAGAATATTGCAGAAAATTACAGTCTTCTAAGTAATGATTTTGTACAGGATTGTTGTTTCCAGGAGGGAATTTGCTTGGAAGCAGAACGGAAAGGGTATGTCTAGAGTGTTCCTTTGACTAAAAATAGCAGGTGCTCAATTTCTCACCAGCAAACAGACTCAATTCCCACGATTGCATTGTGCATTTCTGAGTTGTTGCATGCTGGGTTGGGGCACAGCTGCCCCAGGTACCAGGGCACCGTGGGCTCTCCAGAGGTGCTGTTTCAGAGCTGTCTTTGCTGCATCTGAATGCAGGATGCAAGAAACCCTGTAAATGATCTGTGTTATTGTGGGCTCAATCAAGACTGCCTTCTCAATTAACTAACTGTCTCCAAGTTCTAGACAATGGGCAATCAGCATTTAACTGTGAGCAGAAACCATTCCCAACACTCAAGTATTACGTTGGAAAGCAGGAGTGAGCATTTTGCTGTGGGAATGGAAGGAGTTGCCTTTTCTTTCCTCCCCAGGAGTATCACAGATAATTTCTGTTCCCATCCTGCCTCAGTTCCTGCTTGATTTTCGTGGGAAGCATGGCTCCTTCTCGAAGAGCTGCACACTGTGGCCACCAGCTCCTGGTCTTCTATGGCACTGCAGTGCTGCCCCCTGGGCCTGCTCAGCTCTGTGTTAAGAGGAATAACTTTCCCAGGAAACAGCCAGGAAGTAACACTCACCACCTGCCACCGACTGTGGGAGCCCTGTCACCTCCCTCCATGGGAGATTGAGGACCAAAGTCCCTCAGGAGCTGGTGCTGCTGGCAAACCCACAAGGGCACTTCTGAGAGACGCCCCTGAGAGATGGAAAACCAGCTCCTGCTGCCTTGGAACACATGGAATGCAACCTAACAGACCTTTAAGATGTAAAGTGGAAGGAATAGATTTGTCAGAAACCTCTAGTCTTTTCCATGGCATTTTTCTCTGTTTTTAAGTTTCCTGTAAGTCAGGATAGAATTTTCTGTTTGACAGCGTGTGTGACGTTGGGTTGGGTCACTCTGTGGTTCAGGTGACCCTGCCTGGAGCAGGAGCTGAACAGCCATCCTCATCCACCATCACCAAACTGGAGCAAACAAGAGCCAGGACAAGTGACCCCTCGCAGGGACTGTGACCCCTCAACCAGAGCAAACAATAGTGACCCTTCATGGGGGTTGTGACCCCTAATGGGGGCTATGCCTGAAGCCAAGAACAAACCCAACCAAACAACCAGAGGCTTGTGCACCTGTCAAGACTCCTCTGAAATCTCCAACCACAAACAAAGGTTTAACTTAATTAACAAATAAAGGATTTAATTAACTATTAAAATAGTAGATTAATAATTAAAATTATTTTGTTGCAGTGAGCAAAGCCAGTAACTCCCTAATGGTCAGCACATCTCTAATTAGCAGCTCCTACAGGGCAGAGACAGGACAGCCCCATATCCACCTTTGCTCACCTTGGGTTTGATCCCATCTGACTCTGGCCAGCTGGATGCTATGAGTGACATTCCAGGCACACTGTGGAATGAAGCTGTGGAGAAAACACCTCCCAGGTAGACAGGGAGTACAGACACACATGCAGCTGTTGGTGCACTCACCTGAGCAGTTACCTGTACCACAAAGTGCTGCCCGGGGAATGAAGGGGAACAACTGGTCACACCTGTGCTTTCAGCCCATTTTATTTAACAACATGTTATTTTTCAACTACATTTAAGAGGAGAAGTCCAATGTGTTCCAGATTTTCCCAGCACAGAGGGAACACGGGAAACCCAAAAATTCTTTCAATGCCAAACTAAGAACTTGTACCGACTTTGTCAAGGCAATTAAATAAACCAACCAAAGGTTTGTTTCTCTTCTCTAATGAGAGGTAGGGAGGCCCCAGTAGAAGGAAGCACAGGCAGATCTCCTTGCAACACCTGCTTCAGATCCATCTCAAGAGAGATGAGGAGACTGCTGTAATCCACATGGTGGAGGATCCAGTCAGGCAAAGGCAAAGCCTCCCAAAGCCAGTCAGGGCTGGGACGGAAGGGAGAGGGTTCCAGATGAGGTTTTCACAGTCTCTGTATTATCCAAAGTTTTGGAAGGGGATTGGGAATAGACAAGTCCTGTCACAGTATCAAAAAATCAATGAAAAATGAGTCTGCTAGTGAGAAGAGTGCTGTTGGCACAGGACAGACCGTTCCCGCCGGTCGCCGATCCAGCCGTGTCCATGAACAGCTGCAGAGGTAGCGCCCTCACACGGTGACCTTCTCCATCACATTGCCTGGGACGTGCACCTCGTCCCCTTGCACCGTCACCGTGGTTGACTGGCCGCAGATGTGCTGGTGATCCTTCCAGTCCTGCCAGGGGAGAGCAGAGGGAAAGGCTGTGAGCAGAACAGGCCTTGGAGAAGGGCCCTCCCTGTGTGAGAAGCACTCTCTCTCCACAAACCAGACCAATGATGGAGGACAAAGGAGCCATGCACTGGATCAATGTAAGGGGTGGAATCGGACTAAGCAGAATGCTGCCACCTCCACACAAACCACAATCCAGGATATCAGTGTCAGTCAGATGGAAAATTTACTAAAACTGAGTCAGAATCTTGACTTAAAGCCTCTCCTCTCCTGAAAGGCAGCTCTCAACACCGAGTGCTCCTGAGGGACAGCGCTGTGCTGGATCTTAGCTCAGCTAGGACAGGAACAGACTCCTTCTGGAACTGACTGAATTCAGAAACAGCTGACTCAGCCTGAACCTGAACCTGGCCACCCAGCAGAGCTGTAATGGCTAAACTGAACCATCCTTCTCTCCAAGCAAGGGCCAAGGATCACTGTAAGGAATTGGTGTGAAACATGACACACAGCAGCTTCCTCCACTGTACTTCATACTGTTCCCACCTCCCAAGCTCACAATTGTAGAGTCTGTCCCACTGTAGCACCTGCAGCATCACAAATAATGGAAAGGAGAACTATGTCCTCAGTGCCACGGCAGGAGCAGCAGGGAAGGAAGGAAGCAGCATGAAGGGGCTGTAAAAGTGCTCCCATCTCCCCACAGATCCCAGTGAGGTGTCCATGCTTCATTTCTAGTGTTACTTGGATTTTTTGGGTCACCTTTAGGAAGGTGTGTGCAAACCTGGAGACCTTCTCTTCCCTTTTAACCCTGTCCTGCCTTGCAGACCTGCCCCATCACTACAGCCTTGTTGGTGATCCCACTGGCAGGGTGGGTTTGGAGTGCTTAACCCACGCAAGGCTCTGCTCTGACTGCATGGCTCTACTGTATGTTCCTCCCTCAGCACTGACACCCATCAGGTGGCAGCCCAAGCAGCCTGGCTGTCCCCAGGGTCACACAGCCCTCCCCAGGGAACTGAACCCCAAGTCACAGGCAGGCTGATACCTTCCGCTGGCAGAACGTGGAACAGTAGTTGACTTTGTGGCATCCTGTGCACTCGTTGGTGGCCTCCCGCCCGCAGTTGACGCAGGATTGCTGTGGGAAGGGATGGAGAGGGACAAGTCACACAGAGAAAAAACAGGGGCATCATCGAGCTGCAACAAGTGCTGTGATGGCTGGAATGCCAGAGCAAGCTCCCATTTCCCAAATTAGCCTCAGCACACAACCCACAACAAAAAGGCCCAGTGGCCTCTGGATACACCCTCAGAGACCCACTCTCCTTGCTCTTTTAGCAGGAAATGAAATTTCATTTGGAAAATGAAATGTACCTGTTTTTCTTTCTGTCGGGCAGGAAGCCCTCCCAGAATGTGTGTGGACACTGAGTGGTCATGGAAATCCATCCCCACCACCCCAGGGAAACCTCCCTCCAGATAGGTCTGGTATCCGTCAGTCAGGTAACTACAGGAGTCGGGTGTATCCCACCCAGACATGTCAGGCTGTGCACAGGCTATTGACACACAAGCTCTGAGGTTATCCCAAATTTAAAGGTTTAAAGGCAGATTTCAGTGGTGGTTTTGTTGGGTTTATAGTCCTGTGTATATCTAAGAGAAGGTCTGAGGAAGGACAACAGACTAAGAATACAGATGGGATCCTTCAGGTATTTTCCCCTAGTTTTAGGGAGGAAAAAGGCATCTGCTCATATGGGATATGTTCCTTGGTCCTTTCCCAGTCAAGACTATATAAGGAGAGTACCAAGAGGGAAACAGGAATCAAATTAAGAAGGCTCTAACAGAAGCCCAGGATTTAAATCCAGAAGCAAGGCAAGATGGGATACACAGGTGAAAAATCACACCTGCTTTTTAAGTGATGTTTTTGTGTCTATCGCTTTAATCTTATTTTGGTGACATCAATTAACATAACCTGTATATTTAGGTGGAAACATCATTGAACTACCACCAAAATAAGCACTTCACAGAGCATTCCACTTCCAGTTCATTAAATCCCTGACAAATCATTAGCACATCAGCAGCAGTGACAAGAAGTGTTGCTGGGCTGTGAAAGTATTGTGGGCTCATCAGTTCCTCCAGGCTTCTTCTCTCACTGAGCAAAACCACCCCAGAAATCAGGGCTCTGATTAACACCCTCTTTCACACCTTTCCATGTACCTGCAGCGAACAGCTGGTGACACTGAACTGTGTTTGTGCTCCTGATGTGCAGCTGTGGATTTGGAACACTAAAAAGGGCCTAAAGCTGTGATTTGGGACTTGCAAAGCCTGCCCTGAGGGGACACTTGACTGGGGCTGTTTGTAACTGGAAAATGTGGAAAATACACGGGGCATGGTTGTACCTGCAGATATGAAAGAGAACTGAGCAACACAGCTCTAAGGGCTTCAGTTATGGGTCCAGAGCTAACTCCCCTTCCAAATACCAGAGGAAATTGTGGAGTTATGAAAACCAGCTCACAGGACAGAAAGGAAGCAAATTCTCTTCCTGTCACAGCTCTGTGACAGCCACCTACCAGAGCTGCAGCACCACCACTCAGAGGTGAGGGAGACTGATGAACCTGGCCGGGTGAAGGAACACAGAAATCTGGAATGCTTGGGAAAGGGGAGACACTGCTTGGAGCACTGGCCAAGGGAAGGAAGGGCTCAGATCCTTTGCCAGAAGGCCAGACACAGAGCACAGGATTCCACAGCAATGACAAAACCTCTGAGTCTTTAAATGGAATAAGACAAAGACCAAAAGGCTCTTCACAACACGAGACACCGCCAGCCTACCTTGATGATGATTTCTGTCTTCCCATCCACATCCTCTGTTTGTTGGAATAACTGGCTCTGGTATTGCTGCAAGGAGAACACAGCAGACATGTCATTTCCCAGCCAGAGCACGATGTGAGGGGTTGGAAGGGTGCTGGGATGGAGGGTCCCCATGCTGAGCTGTGTCTGCCCAGCCCCACACTGCAGTTGCAAGAGGACAGGGTGGCCCCTCACTCCTCACTTCTAGGAGAGGGACACTGTCACCTGATGTGGAGACAGGGCAAGGAGCCTGTGAGAGAACAGCCTGAGGTGACAAACTGCCAGTTCAGTACAGCATTTCCTCCAAGCCCAGCTCCCCACTCCATCCAGCCACACACCTGCCCTTAAACTGGGGGGTTTAACTGCAACTCCCCCACACATGGGAACTGGAAAATCAGCACAGGAAACACGAGGAAAACACCAGGGTAACAGGGCCAAGTGGCAAATTCCAGGGCCAAATTTTGGGTCAAGTCCAGTGATCCTAATTCACAAAGAGGCAAAGGACTCTGGAGGGAAGGTAGAGCCCACCAAAAAGGATTAGGGGGAAAAATAAGCTGAACAAAATTAAGATGCCTTAGACTTTAGGAGCAGCACTAACCATAATCATTACTCCTCCTTGAAACAGAAGAGTGAGAGGGCTGTAGAACAAGTTGTGACTCCATCAGTCCTCTGGAGGTGATCAGAGCCCACTTTGGCTGCCTGGCAGAATCACTTCACACCAGCTCAAGCCCAACCAGGTGCTGCTGTACCTGCTGCAGCAGCAACACACTCAGCAATGAGGGACAGAAGTCCCAAACCAATGGCATCCAAACCCAATCCCAAATTAATTATGTGCTAACCCTGGCTTAAATGTATTTGGAACAGTTAAAAAGTCCAAAAAAGCTGAATCCCTTCCTCCAGGCCAAGCAGGTTCATCCAGGAGTTGACTCAACACATAAGGAGATTAAAGGCTTAATTTACAAGTATATGACCTGAGAGCACAGTATTTATTCTCCTGTGAAACCACAACCTTCAAAACCTTGATATTACCATGACAGAAATTAAATTAAAAAACTCCAGGCAGGCAGATGGAGGTGGAGGCAGAGAAGCCTCTTGCTGTGGCCTGCCAGGGGTGTGATTTGGTTTTGCCCTATTTGACAAGGCAATTCCAGCCATGCACAAACCATGGAGAAGGAAAAGGTGTGATAAGAGAGAGGAACAAGCCAGACACATTCAGATCTCTCACAGAAACAGCCCCACAAAATGCAGAATCTCCAATTCCCAAGAGTATCATTGCTAGTTTGGAGTACACAAGCCACTGTTTGCTGACCAGAGACTATTTCTTAACTGTTCAACCCTTTTTAGGTTAATTTCATACTCTCCAGCCCTGAATTGGTTTAATCTTTCTTAAAAAGCATTCAGATGCCCCAGCTGTTTGCTGATTTAATTTTCCACCTTGCTTTCAAACAGGCAGGGCTCCAGAAGCATCTCTGCTTTACAGAGGGCTATTCCAATTAAAACATTTGTGGGATTTCAACACTCATTCTCTTCAACTTATACAGAAAATACAATTAATACATTTCCTGAATCTCTTTATTATTCCCCAGCAATTCTGGCACAGAATTTAGTGAGTATGTGTAATGTCCCCATCCTAAAGTTTATCTGATATAAACACTGGATTAATGCACACTCAGAAAAATTACATTGCCCAAGCACACCAACATGTCAGTCCTGCCTTTAATCTCTTCATTTTGGGCCTGATCTGCAAATGTCAAATATCTATTGCAAGAGACACTGAGCCTTTGTTACTCCACTCACCCTAAATTCCCAGATGTCTTTCCCTTACCAAAAAATGCAGTAAAAACCAAATGGAGATATTAACCAGGGGATCAGACACTCAACCACAACCTAATTACTAATGACACTCCAGAACTGTTTCTTAACAGCCACATGAAATTCAGCCAGAGCAATTGTATTTAACTAATCCCACACAAAATGCTGCAATTCAGAAAAACCTTATAAATCTCTCCATATATCCATTTTTTGCAATATCATGAGGCATTTTGGAAGTTCATATAAACATGGAGCTGGAGGGCTCCTGGTTTGCTTTTCTTTTGGGATATCATTCCCCAGGACTTCTAAGTAACACAAATGTAACCTTACTCAGAGGCTCCTAACACTTTGCAAACTTGCACATGAGCTCTCTGGGAAGGAAGTGTTATTTTCATCTGAGGCACAGTGAGGCCAAGGACTTACCCAGGGACATCAAAATGACTTGTGGGAAAGATGGAAACAAAATTTAAAGGAGATCCCCTGTCTTGAAATTTGCTCAACAAACCATGACCCTTGAACAAATTTACAGAAATTAAGAAGTACAAAGAAAGCAACTGAGTGCATGTCACAACAGCCAAAATACTAAATTATGTGCTAAAAAACTTCCCTGCTGGTGAAGCCTTTATCTACAGCATTTGAAACAGTTCTTTCAGAAGGGATAAGGATGTTCCCAGCCCCTGACACAGGGCTGAGATGGTACAAGGTGGGAGGCAGAGTGCAAACCCCTCACATCAGACACACTTCAGAGCTGTGTGAGTCCCACAACCACCAACACTGCCCAGCACAGAGCACAGCTCCTGCTGTTTAAAGCTAAGGCAACCTAACTGCTGCTCTATGGGAGCAGGACAGCTCATTTGTGCTATTTAATGACTAGAAAGCTCATTAAATAATAAATATAATATTGAAACACACTATAGTGAGTTTCATATGTGAGAAACACAACGAGGCACCTAAGTTTGTGTATCCAGTTGGGAACCAGGCTGTTTCTATCAGATCCCTACAATACTGCTCTGTACTAAGTCACCCTTCCAGCAAGAGCTGAGTCTGCAGCTCTGTTACCATCTCATCTGCAGCCCAGCCTTGCTCTGCAGCTCTGACACAAGGACACCACCAGGAAAGGCTCCCCCTGTTTGCTCACCCTTGAAGTTCTATCAGTGGAATGAACTAAGTGCTAATTAAGCACCAATTTCCTTTGTAAAAAATGCCCTACCTGAAGGGCATGAAGGCCTCTCTGTCTGCCTCTCATATACCGTAACTGCCCAAAAAGCCACGGGACCACACACATACTCAGAGTGGGAAACTGAGTTACAAACCACTAGAAAACTGGGAAAGGCCCTTTGACCAACACAAAAGCAGAGAGCCAGTTCTTTGACCTTTAGTGTAATTGCTTCCCTGTATCCAGGAACACAGTTTTGTCCATATATGGAATTCACAAACAAGAATTAATTCAGAGATAGGTACTTGTGGTGCTTGTGATACTGCCTGGATGGTTCCAGCAGCCAGCACAGCTCAGAATGGTCTGGATGATAAAAAATATCAGCATGAGTATTGTGGTTTCACCACAGTGCACAAGTGTGGAGGTCCCCATTACACACAGAGAATGGTGAGACACAAGTGGTGTAACTGGGCATGCAGCAGTTCCTGGGAAAGGGGTTTTCTCTGGAAATCACGTGCTCATCCTTTCCATGTCAAGTCAGCTTTAGTCCATACACAGGAGGGATTCTAACTCCCATTCCCAGGACAAGAAGTAACTAGAAGAACATAAAAGAGAGCTGGTTTTGGATCAGAGGGTGTGGAGAAGGGACTGAATAACCATTCCAGAAACCACTGTGAGGATAAACAGAAGGGAAGATGCACATAGACTGGAAAAAAAGCAGAGTGAAGCTAAACACAAGCAGATGTTTATCACTCAACTGTGCCAAAGCTTCCAATATTTCAGTGTCCCACTCTGTGCAGCTTTCCAGCAGTAGCCAGCCCAAGCCTGGGCAGCAGCACCAGCACCTGTTCTGCAGGAGGGAGGCAGGGAAGGATTAGACTCCCAACATATCACACACCTGCACATCAAAGATGCATCGTATGGGAGAGTTTAGCATGACAAAGAATACCAAAGAGGCTGCAAGGACTGTCCTAGGGGTCCTCAGCTTCCAGCAAAGTCTTCCCACACCTTTCTTCCAGGCCTGTTGCTGCACACTCATGTCTATGGATTCAGTGGAAAACTGATGTTAGCACAATGCTGATGGCACCAGCAGGAAAGTGGTGTTTGGGAAGGGAGTTCAGCAGCAACTGATGGTTCCAACACTGCCCCCCACCTCTCTCTCCCTAGTTCACACCAGCTGTGGATCTGTGGGAAAGGGAGAGCACCTTCAGGATGAAGCTATAGTTGGGTGCATGCATGGAAGGATCCGAGATCCCTACCATGCATCAGTTACATAGAAGAAGAGCAAGGAGAAGAGGGCAGTCCTCGTGGATAATCCACAAGAGAGAGAAGATGGGAACCAGTCAAGGCTCCTGAGAGGACAGGCAGCCTGCCAGTCCTACCCCCAGGACTCGTGTGAGTCAGCTCTGCTTGCACAGTTCTCAGTAAAACACCTCTAAACTTTACTGCATATCTTTCTGAGAGGGATCAATCTGATTTTTATTTATGGTTCGACGTATGTTACACACGAAGTGAAGAATTCCTGTAAGGTATACATGTCTGTACACGTACTGGTAACCCTGTTCCGGCGAGGGCTCTGCCTGGCAGCCAATCAGGGCCGAAAAAACCTCCACGATCAGCCTGTCAGCGACCCGCCCCACTCGCCGGTAGGGCAAAGGCTCGGATTCCCATGAAGAATATCGGTACAATCGGGCTGTGGAAGGAGCCTTAGCACATAAAAGTGGCTAACTGTGACAAAATGGCGAGTCCTTTTGCTTTGGGTTTCTTGGAGGCATCAGGAGCTCGCTGGGAGAATCACCTTGGCCCTTCTTCCCCCCCACCCCTCACCTTTTCCTCCCTGCGGTCCTGCTTCCCTGCCCCTACCTGCTTTTGCCCTGCTTCTGCCAACCAGATGACCTTGTGCTCCGCTGCCTCCCCCACAGCCCGCTGCCTGCACCGCGCTCCCCAGGCACAGCTGCAGCCATCTGCACCGAGCCGCGGCCGCCGCGGCGTTTGCGCGCTGCCCGCCCCGCCATCCCGCCACAGCACTCAGCCCGGGAACACCAGCCCGGCGTCACCGCCTGCGCCCAGACAAGCCCGCAGCTGCCGCCTGCAGCCACCACGAGCCCGCAGCCGCTCACAGGAGCCGCGCAGGGCGGCTCGCTGCCGCCGCCGGGGACACGCTGCTGCTGCTGCCGCCGTAAGATTGCGGCCGAGCACTGACAAAAGCCGCGCGGTCTCGCCGCGCATGGCAACACGCACGCTCCGCCTCTGAGCTGGCGCTGACAGAGCACCGGCGTGCTTGCGGTAACGCTGCCCCTGTCTTCTGTTTCTTTCTCCGTCTCTCTTTTCTCCTCTCTGCTCTCTTTTCTATGCCCCTTCAGTAGGACGCTCACCCTTCTTTATATTCAGATACAATATTGCCGCATTTGTGCTTTATTTTCATCTGAGAAATCTATCAAAAAGAATCCTCCCCGACTCCTTCTTTTACCTTGGGACAGAACACTTCCCCATAAACTCTGTGTTAAGCTGTTCCACATATCCTATTGAAAGCCCAGCTCACCTGACAGCAGCCACTGCACTGCTGAACACTCACCAGCTTCCTCAGATTAGGACTCAGTGCCCACATCCCATAACTTTATGGACAGCTGATGGGAGAGCTCAGGATCGTGACACCAAACAGTCTGTACAACCAGCCTGCTGCCCACAGCTCCTGGAATCCCAGAGAACTTCATTCCTTTCCCCAGGATACAAATAACTTGGGAAGATTTCTCTCGCTAACATTGCTTTCAAGGCCTGGAGAAACAATTTCCAGTACCACTGCTCCAGCCAGCAACTACTCTGCTCACCACTCAGCCCCAAAGGTGCCCATGGCTGAGCCGCTGTGGCACAGTTACCTCTTTCCTCTCCACATCAGCCTGGATCTTGGCCTGTGTGACAGCAGCCTCATGGAAGGAGGAGCTGGCCTGCTTGGCCTGCTCAATCAGAGTCTTCAGCTGCTGAGCTGTGCTGAGCAGGGAATTGACCATCTCCTCCAGGTAGAGCCAGCTGCGCTGCTCCGTCACCTCCAGCCCGTTCACCACCGACGGCGACATGGCTTTGGTGGGCGTCGGGGGGGGCACCGCCAGGGCAGGCAGGGACGTCAACACTGGACATGAGGAACAAGAGAGAATATACAGACAGTTAGGGGGTTTCATTTCCATCAAGTGGTGGTGGTGGTGGTGGCAGGGTGTTGGGTTTTGTGGTTTTTCTGTGGTGTTTGGTTTCTTTTCTAAAATGTGGTTTGCAGAATTTCCAGCCAGGAAAGTGTTTGTTAAACAGATTATTCCTTCTGCAACATCAAGTGCACATCTGGGCAGAACAAGCCCGTAGGCACTCTCAAACCCATGGGACAAGAACACCTCCTCTTGACCTGGATGACCCTGGGAAGAGTTTAACACCTCCCAGCACTGCTGTGGAGAAGCACTATGATGCAGTGAAAGCAGCATTCCCAGGAACTCCTCCACCACTGCCAAGAACATTTCCCTCAGCCATGGCTAGGTAAGGTCAGAGTAAGTCACTCAGTGACCCAATACTTTACAGAAACATCCTGATGATCCTGCCCAGATGTCAATTCTCAGGCTGCAAACCACAAAACTCAAGTACTGATCCACATCACACTCTCTGTGCTTCCTGAATTCTGACCTTTACACAACCCTGGCCAGACACTGGACTTAACCCCAGACAGTCACCATTACCTCCACGTGAGTGTATTCCAAACATGGACTTCCCAAAACCATGCGTTGGGAAGCCCTTCAATAACCCAGCAGTTACTGTGTCACTGAACCAGTTACTTTTCACATTAGGTTTCTGTGTACACTGGGAGATCAGGGTATGACAAAATTAAATCCAGACCCAGAACTCCACCATACACAGCATAAACTCAGCTTAGGTTAACATTCCAGGAAGAAATGTTATCTGGCTTTCCTTTTCCAAAATGTAATTCTAGCAATAAATACTCACCATCTGCCATAAAATTCAGTCCAAGACATTCAAATCTACCAACACTGACCTCGACATTCCTCACTGAATTCTTTACTGGTACAAAGAAGGTACCATCAGCCGCAGGGTTGTGCAGACTTCTTACCTCAAAACACTCTTAATTAAAACAGTAATTTTAATGAATTTGCACATGAGTGGCGTGGAACTATTTGCACTTAGATATGAGTACGAGATAAACCAGTCTTTTTTATCAATGTCTGTTTGCACAAGAGCCTTTCCCACTCTCCATTTCCAGCACAGTATTTATCCCTGCCTGGCATTTGATAACAAACATATCAAAGAGGAATTACTTCCAATTCCTCTTCCAATTCCAATTCAAACTGCTGAAATGTATATAATGCATTTATATTTTGTTTGACTTATCCTGGCATTTTTCACTCCATTTCAACCCTCACCTAGTTTGGGTTTTTTTGGCACAAGTACATCAGGCAAGAGAAAATATTCACTGGTGAGAAAACAATCAATGTTTAATTAGTAACATCAAGATCTGACTAAGTCTTAAACACAAGAAGATCTGACTCTGGAGACCAGGAACATCCTGTGCCACTCCAAATAAATAAATAAGGGTCATACAGAGGGGATTGAAAACTCACACTAAACCTGGTCAAAAGTACCCCCAGCACGCATCACTGGAGTAAAGGGATGTCTAGAAAAGCTTCTGTGGCATGATTTTAATTGGGTTTGTTCTCAGATCGAACACTAAATAAATGTTCAGCCACAGTGCCCAAAGAGACAAAAGTCTGGAAGCAAAAACTTTAGGAACAGCAGGGGATGCAAGACAACTCATGATGCAGAATCACAGCAGCTGCCTCTGGCAGAATCAATAAATCAAAGCTCTCAATAAAGAGTGAAAAATTTCCCACAAAGGGGAAACCTGCTTGTCCAAATCTTAGTATCTGTAAAACTCACAAGCACAATAGAGGAAAATTTATTTTTCTGCCCCAGTCTTTACCTTTGTTGAGAAAGATGGGAGGAAATTGAAGCACAGGGAGAGCAAACATACCGATTTTGGGATGAGACGTTGGCAGTGCAGCCTCAGGGAAGGGTGAGATCTGGCAGTTGTCCTGGTAACTGGGATAGTGAGGCTCTGGATGAGACACCCGGCAAGGCTGCTGGACGTTGGTGTCCTGAACTGAAGGAGAACAAGGGCCTGGGAATCACTAACACACCTGGCAGGTGTTCCTTACACCCCTATGTTTTTATGTTTTATACAAGTTCCTACACTCTGTGGTAATTCCCAAGGGTTGAAAATGTGAAACAGCAGCAGGATCTCACACAGTCAGCAAGCAAAGAATCCTGGTCCTGGCTCCACCATGCTCTGATTTCACCTTTAGAGCCACAGGTTCCTTGGTTCCATCTCACATATTGAAATATCCATGATCATCACAGGGCTCCAAACTCTCATTCTTGGAGCAGGATCATTCCCCCAGGAGAGCTCATAACCCAAAGCATGACTCAGACTGAGAGAACTGAAATGTATGTCATGCATTTATATTTTGTTTGATTTATCCTGGCATTTTTCACTCCATTTCAACCCTCACCTAATTTGAGGTTTTTTGGTAGTATTTCAGGTTAAATGAGGAATTAAAAAAAAATATTACAGAGATGAACATAAATCCTAGGAACTCAGTAGAGGTGAACATTAGCAGCTGCCACACCTGGGCAAAGCTTCTCCTTTGGTGCAACTGCTAAGATTTAAGCAGTGTCTCCCTTGAGAAATAAATCCTTTGTGTTGCATTCAAAATGTTCCTTCCTACAGCAGTGGGCATCCAAACCTCTTTTCCTCCTCCCCACGGCTGTCTAGGAGAGAGCTGAGCTCTTACCAGTGGCTCCAGTGAAAACATCCCCCTGTGCTGGGCTCTCTGAGATGATGGCCGTGGCCTCCACGGTGGACGCGCGGTCGAAGGTCAGCGCCCCCGAGGTTGTGATCTGTCCAGAGGGAGTCACGGTGACTGGAAACATTAAAGCACTTTCATAATTAACACTCGGAGCAGAGGACATGCCTGTCCAGCTGTTTGCTGTTATCCCTGTGCTGCACCACCCAAGCTCAGGGGACTCACAGATCACCAGCCTGGGACAACCCAGTTTGGATCACACCTGTGACCAGTGCAGTTGGAAAGGGGAATAAAAGCCCCAAGGGGTTTCTGAAGGCTCTGCTGTCCTTCCAAGGCTCTGGGGGCACGAGGCCAAAATGTTAATTTACAACCTAATATCTCCCAAATCACCACACTTTCAGTTATTTTATGAACCATAACATAACACTTCCCATAAAGATTCAGTGAGGCCACACACCCCATCAATTTCTGGCTGCTTTATGACAATTTTAGCAAGAGTGTTTGTTGTTACTTAAATCAACACAACAATTTGTGGATTACAGCTAATTCCATGACAGCTGGGCAATTTTAGCTGTTTATCTACACAAAGTGCTAGAATGTGCTCAGCCAATGTAAGGAACAAGGCACAAAATCCTTCTGCATAATTATACCTGAGTGGCTTCTGAATGTTTAAAATCCATTTTAAAGAGGATTATTTAACTGGTACCATTAATTGGTGATGGTCTGATTCTGTGGCACACAATAATAAAATTTTAAAATACTGTAGCTACAAATTCCTGGCTGAAGTATTTGGCCACCAAAACAAGTTCTCTCTTCCAGAGCCAGCATGAGAGAAGGAGCAGCCTCACAGCACCTCACATAACAAACCAATACAGATTCAACCTATTTGGGGACTAAAAAAATCAAAGCCATAAAACAACTCTGCAGAATCCTTGTGTGTTTCTCCTCCTACTGTTGCTGATGATCTAATCTTACTTTTTTGTTCTTTTTTTAGATTTCTGTTGCTTCCTCCTTGACTCACTTTGTACTGTTACCTGCAGATGATGCCAGCGTGCCGAGAGCAGGAGGACAAATGGATGTGACTGGGGATGTGTGAGCTGGATCAGCTTGCAAATTAATTCCTGTTCTCACACAGATAATTTGCCAATCAAACCAGTAACTGACAAAGCTGAATGCTGGAGAGGGATGTGCAGATCAAAGCATCACCTTCTGCCTCCTTCATTAACGACTTTCAGGCTGGGGGTTTCATTCCAGCTGCTTCCAGGCTATTTTGCAAGGAATAGCACAAATCTTACTCCAGCTTCTAAGGGACACAAAGAAGCTCAGAGGATGGAATGGGGATTTCTGGCAGAGCAGAGAAGGGCCAGCCTCTCCCAAACCTAATTCCAACAGGAAATTTCTCAGTTGTTATTTGTGAAAAATCAACCTAAAATCCACTAAGGATCCAGGCCAGGATCCCATAATTCTCCCCCCACTGAGAGCAGGTTCAGGGGGCAATATAATCATATACTATAACCACAGAATCCTGAAATGCTTGGGCTTGGAAGGGACCTTAAGGTCATCTCCTTCCACCACCCTACCATGGGCAGGGGCACCTTCTACTAAACCAGGCTGCTCCAAGCCCCATCCAACCTGGCCTTGAACAATTCCAGGCACAGGACATAACTCAAACCTCTCTCAGCACAAAATATGAAACCTACTGTTCATGGCACAAGGATGTCACAATGCTTAAACCTGAGTCTCCCAGAGGTCTAGAGCTGCACTTTTTCCTATTCAACTTGTGTTCAGATGTGGCCACACTGTGCTACTTCCTATAAAATAGGAAGTGACACTGAGACAATAAAATCATCCAATGAAAAGAATGTGACCAAAAAATAGGACATTTTTCTCAGCTGGACAGTTCCAAGGGGCCACTAACAGACATAAAACACCTAGCAGGGCAACTCTCCAAAGAAAGGAAGCAATTTTTACCAGGAGAAAAGAACCTACACGTAGTTGCAGCACTGGCTGGAAGCAGAGTGATGTTTTTGGAACAATTCTTCTTCACTGGAGTTGCCGGTATTTCATTTTCTTTTTTCCGCCTTTTATATGGCACAAAGAGTCGTATAGGGCCACTCTGGGTAGAAAAACACCAGAAAGAAAATGAAAAGAAAAAAGGGGAAAAAAAAAAGCATTAGCTGAGGCACTTCTTTGGAGACTTTGATTTTACTCTCATCTTTCCAGGAACAGCAGCACAGATCCCTATGCATGATGTGTGGTTTGCAACAATAGACTAAAGCACTTAAAAGTTTTCCAAACAAAAAGAACTTTGAATAAAAAAGAAAAGTTAAACTCAGCTCCCTCCAGCTGAAGAGGCACAAATTCAACATCTTCCCACTATTATTTAAGGAGTAGATCTGGGCAGATAATCAGCTGCTGGTCAAGGTGGTGGTAGAAAAGAGAAAAAGAGGGAGGAGAAGAGAGGAAGAAGTTCCAGGCAAGAAAATGAGCACATCAGTCAGTTCATAGCAGAAAAGAAAGGCAAAACACCAGGTCAAGCTAAAGAATTCTGCTTCTGCTTCAGGATTTAAATCTCATTTTTGAAACAAACTAGCAAAAAAATCAAACCCCTAATCAACTAACAAAAAACCCCAGGTAGTTTTAAAATAAAAATACTGACCTATCGTAAGATTATAATGTTGCTTCTTTACAAAAATATTTTTCCAATTCAAAACATTGTGAAATTTGAGACAAAAATCATGAATAGCACTGACATCCCCAAAAGGCATTTTGCATAGATATATTAATTAGAAAATGAAAAATAAAGAAATAAAGCACTAAGTAGGATCTACTTTTACTGAGGGTCTGCAATAATGCCAGCAGTTCCTCATCTCCTTTCTCCACAGGGCAGGGAAAAATTCTTGTCCCTGAACACTCATGTGTCAGGGCACTCAATTCCCAGGACACTCATGACCTGCTCACCCAAGAGCTGAGGCAGCTTGACTGGTTAATTTGTCCAACAAGAATAATTAGTTCCCAAAGTAATGGATGTAAAGCCTCCCACTCACCAGGGTCATGTCGTCACAGCAAGCGGCACAAGTACACGAGGCAGCGTGGGGATTTAAAATCCCATCCTGGAATCAGAGGTCACCAGTTCAGCATGAGAGTCACCAAAATCACCCAGAGCACACCTTGATCCTGCTAAAAAATGTGGATGGCTCCCAGAGTGGTACCCATTCCCTCCTGGATGCTGTACGGTAACAGAGAGGCCAGTTCCCCCCACCAGTGCAATAGGGTGAGAGGGTCAGAGGAGAGCAATGAAAACCAAACCATTTCCACACCCAAAGGCCAGGATATATGAATTTGAGATTTGATTTCTGCTCAAACAGAAATCAACTGTCAGCCTAGTGGCAATGCCAGGAGACTCAAATAAAGGACCCAAATAATGAATGGTGAAAATGAAGAATGTGTGGCAGGCAGAGACATTGAAGGAGATCAGGACACTGAATTACAGTATCACAGGTGAGAGCTCAACTCCTGTGGCACAGCTCAAGGCTGGACTTCACCCTGCAGAAACTCTTTCCCAGTGTGCTTTTGAGACATACCAAAACCAATTCCCCTACATCACTGCCCCTCAACCAAACCAAGCACTGCTCCTGGTGCCATCGCACCTGGCTCCAGCTGCCCCTTCCTGCAGAAAGGAGGGAGCAAACTTAACCTTACGTGGATAAGGCACTGCAGGGGCCGCCCGGCGTAGCGGATGCTCCTCTTCCAGTCCTTGCTGCTGGCTCGCCCCGCCATGGCCTCGAACTCCGTGGGGCTGTACCAGTTGTCCCCTTGCTTAATGCACCTGCCCCGGCCTCCTGAAGTAAAGCAACAAAATACACTGTCAGCCCAGGTTAAGGATAATTTTGCCACTTTTCTAAAGAAGAAAATATGAAAATTGCTGGACAAAAGAGCAGTTAATCTGTAAGAACCACTAACTATGCCCATTGCTCTTGGGTAACTATGTCCATTTATTATCACGGCTGTGACAATGATGGGCATGTTCAGAGCTCCAACTCTGGGTCTCAAAAGGCTGTAAAAATTACTCCTCCGTAAAAAAGAAAAGTCTTTATTGGACAAACACCACAAATTTAAGTCTTTCCTCAATGTGCAATTAAATTTCTGATCTTTTTTGTGTTTGTGGTGGGTTTAGAAGAAAACTTTCTGCCCACAAAGCAAGCACTGCACTGCGCAGCCAGGCTGGCTGGCAATTTCTGCTGCAGCTTCCCCAGCTTCCCCACAGGGATAAAAGACAAGAAGAAGAGCTCAGAAGCCCCGTGAAGAGAAAAAATTATTTGCATTCCAGCAGGGATTCTTCAGAGTTTTGCAAAAACACAAGTTTACTTATGAGACAAAAAAATCATTAAAGGACTGAGCCTATTACTGAGGAGACTCACTGCATGGCCGCCTGGATATTTGCAGGTTTAAGAAAAAGTTAAAAACCCTCTGAAGAAAAAGCAAAACAAAAGGGAACAGTAAAATCAAAAGACTCTGGGCTGTCTTGGAAACTCTCTTGGTTTTTTTTCCTGTCACGATCAGCCCTTAAGAACAGCCTGATTAAAAGAAGAGTAGGGCAGGAAGAGAAGGAGCTGTGGCCCCCCTCAGCCTGGTAGCAGTTACCTGAGCCCAGCCTGTTCTTGTACAGAATGCCGCTGATGTTCCGGCACCGCACCGGGAGCTCGTTCTCGTACACGGACGGGTCCCAGTTGTACTTGGTTCCACTCTTCCCCTGGACGGCTGCCAGAGGGGTAGGAGGAGACTGTGGTCCTTGCAGGAAAGAGACAAGAAAGGTGTCAGCAACCAAAAGGCAGAGTGGTGTTCCATCCCATGCTCGGCTGGGTTGACTGGAGCAGCTGGAACGCCCCCACAATGAAGCAGCACAAAAAGCTCAGCCTGAACGAACTGAGAAGGGCTGATAATTAAGCAAAGAGGACCTGAGGAAACAGGCTCTAACAGGGAATAAACACTGAGACTGTGACCTGATCCTTACACCACGTGTAAGCTATGGTGAAAGGAGCTGGCTGGAGATTCCCCTGCCCAGAGCCCATCCTGTGGGAAGCTGGGGAGCACTGAAGGTTTGCTGTGCCATCTCGTGGGCAGCAAGGAAACTGCCAGGCAGCCCTGAACAAAACCTCAGCGACACAGACACTAAAGAATCAGCCTGAATGGACATGTAAATGTGTTCCAGGAGCTGTGGAAAGAACACATGCAGAACTGGGAGACTCAGATTTTTATTAACCATGTTAAAATTATCCGTGTGCCCTTGGAGGTGGGATGGGTGTAGAAAGCCTAATAACAGGGCAAGATTTTTCAAGCAGCTTCTTTGACAGGGTTAGGGCAAAGAATGAAGAAATTAAACACATTTCTGACAGGAAAACAATTTAAAAACAAAAAAAGGACTCTTTCATTCCCAAGAAATACACAAAATATTGTGTGAGGACTTGATATCTTAAAAGTCTTTTCCAATTTGAACAACTTTATAGTTTTTAAAAGAGGGAAAAGCATCCTTACAAAATTATGCACATATATTAAGATTCCAGAAAGATGAGTGGAGTAGAAGCCATCCCTGTAGGAGAGTGACTCACCAGAAGCAGACTGTCTAATACCTGGTGTGAGAGGTGCTGAAGGCCCCTTGATCCCGGTGGTTTCGACGATGCTGCCATCCGTGTGCACCACTATCAGAGTGGCTTTCTCAGGGTTCAAGCTGTCCCCAATTTGGAGGGCTGTTCTCCCAGACTGCAGAAGAAATAAAGAGTTTAAATTGATTAAAACACTTCAACACAAATAGATTTCACAGGCACCCCAAAACTCCAATCTGTATGGCAGTTGTTAGGTTAATTTTTGAGTCTCTGAAGCAAATTCAAAGATTTCATGTTCCAGGTTACCAGCTCTGTTACCAGACAAATATGTGGGGGAGGAAAGATAAAAAAGTTAGGAATAAAACCCCTGTATGTCCCCCAGCTAATGGGTTTGTAGTTTAATGCCTGGATATTACAATGAAAACAAATCTTTGACCTTAGTACAGCTCTTCATTTACACTGAGAAACTTTGTCAAGGCCCTCAAATGAAAGGACAGACTTACCAACACGTGTCCTGAAATTGAAGCTGCATTGGCCACAGACGTGGTGAAAACATTGTCTGCAGAGGCCCCCACGTTGGCTACTGTCACTGTGGTGACTTCTGGAATGTAAAACAGGGTTAATTTAATTTTCTGCTTCATGCAGAGAGCCTGATGAACATCTGAAAAATTCCTTCTTCCTTCCTTTCTAAATTAATTTTATTTTTCATTGCACCTGTAAGTTGTTATGAATATAATCATTCTGATTTCTAATGATTTTTGGGTTCAACAGGCTTTAACCTTCATGAAACCAGGGCAGTCACTATCAGTGTGTGATGAACTAAGGGAAAAATAAGTATGGCACCTGTACATGGGATACTCCGAGCTGTGGTGCTTTTATTTAAATAGGGGTGACTGGCAGACATCAGGATAAACTGAACAACAGATTCTGCCCCTGTCATGTATGAATTCCCATGGTGCCATGACCTGTGCACGTCGCCCAGTTAAGAGCTGACAACCGCACAGCCCAGTGCTCCTGCGGTGTTCAGCGCTTGGCCTGGCTCAAATCTCTGGGTTCCACGTGGGTGAGGGTGAAAGAACAACAGCCGCTGGGGCGGGCAAAGGGCTCTGGCCTCTGTGGCAGCGCAGCTCGGCTGCACGGCGCTGCTGTGTGACTGGGGGCGCTTGGCTGTGCGGACACGGGGCCGCGGCTCGGGCGCACCGGGCGCCTCCCGCTCTTTACTGTGTGTGAAGGGGCGGAGTGTGGGACTCGGCGAGGGGGTGGGAGCGCTTCCTGAGGGAGCTCGCTGTCCCAGCCCGAGCCGCGGGGGCTGTGTGGGGGCCGGAGCTCGGGTTGGGGGAGCCCCGGGCGGGCTGAGAGAGCGCTGCCCGCCCTGACCTGCGAAGGCAGCGGCGGCGGCGGCCTCGTCGGCGCTTGGCATTGGCGGTGCTCCCATCTCGATGTGCCCGGCGTCTGCCGCCATCACCGTTACCGCCTCCCCCTCCGCTGCCTGCGGTGGCTCCCGCTGCTGCCCCGGTCCCGCGGGCAAATCGAGCTGTCTGGCGGCCGAGTCGCCGTCGCGCTGCTCCATGCGCGGGGCCGGGGGTGGCCGAGCCCGCTCCGCCTCCCCCCCCGGGCGCGCCTGAGGGGGGTCCTGCGGGCAGGGGGGACCGGCGAGCCGAGCGCAGCCGAGCCTGCCCGACCGCTGACGAGCGTGTTCGGGGCCTTTCGACCGAGTTCCGATGAGGCCCGAAGCGGCCCAAGCCGCTCGGGCCCCGTGCGAAGGCGGCCGGCGCGCGCGCTCCCTGCCGGCTGGCCAATGGGGCGCGGCCGAGTCCGCGCGGCGCGGCCCGAAGCGGTACCTGACGGATCGGGTGAGACCCGAGCCCGCCCGAACGCGGCCGAGTCCCCGAGCGGTGCGGCCCGGCGAGGCGAAGAGTCCCGAGCGCGCTCGAGCGGTGTCCGATCTCAGCCGAAGGCGGTAGCGAGAAGCGCCGATGTGTGCCGAGTCCTCTCCGATCGCGCCCGAGCTCCGCTCGCCGGCCCGAACGGAGACGCCCGAACGGGCAGCGCCCGAATCCGCCCGAAAGCGACCGAACCGGGCCGAACACGCCGATCGCGCCCGAAGGCGGGTAGGCGGGGCGAGTGGCCGCGCGGGGGCTGCCGGGACGGCGGAGGACCGGCGGGCGGGGTGGGGGCGTCAAGATGGCGGTGCCGAGCCGAGGTGAGCGGTGTCGCGATAGCAACGCGACAGCGACAGGACAGCCCTTTCCGGGGCACCGCGGGGGGCTGTCTCCCACCGAGCTAGAGGTGATCTCTCGCGGGGGGACACGACTAGAGCGAGGCGGGGCCGAGGTCGAGCCCAGCCCCGTTGGCATATCGCGACAATCCCGGCACGCTGGGGAGATCCCGGTGGCGCCGCGAGCCGGGGCTTGGCGCATGTGCGGGCTGAGGAGCACCTTGACCCCGGGAAAGACGCTTTCCTGAGGCCGAGAGACGCCTCGTGAAAATCCAGATCTTTGCTTCAGTTTAGGAACTGCTGGGATTCAGAGGGGAAAAACTTCATCCTTAATGTGGTCAAAATCATTAGTTTCCAAGTCTTTCGCCGAGGTCAGAGTTTACTCCCAAAAATGTAAATTTTTGGCTGGAGTAGATAAAGGTGGCTGAGAAAATTTGTGCTGAATTCATTAAAAAAATCTCCTAATCCCAAAACCGTGCAATGAGGTACTCTGGGCGATGCTAACCACGTCTCTGCCTTTAATAAAGTTTTATGTTAAAAATGAAACCTTTCTGTTTGAAAATGGGCCATGTTCCACCTCAAATCCCCATTCTCGGTGTCACTCACTCTAAAATCAGCACCAGGCTGGGTAGATAACCAAGATTTCGGTGGGTGAAGCACTGAAATGATACATTCAGGCTGTTTAATGATCCCTCTTGGCTCTGGCGTGCTCGGGGGTTCGGGGTTTATCCCTGTGAAATGTCCCACTCGCTCGGAGGGAGGCAGCACATCCTCAGCATCTGCGGCTGCCATCCCCGCCTGGAGCAGCTGCAGGAGGCTCACTGCCCTCTCCGGGAAAGGATTAAGGAAAGAAGAGTTCACTTATAAAGATGGGGAACTGCCCTGAGGGAATTCACTCGGAGTTCCCTGTGGGAATTCCATGGCTTTGACTGTTATACAATTCAGTGTCAGTGTTGTAGCTGCAGTTCTGGATATTGAATGAACATAGAATTATGGAATCCTGGAATGGTTTGGGTTGGAAGAGACCTTGAAACTCATCCACCTTTCACTACTCCAGGCTGCTCCAAGCCCCATCCAGCCTTGCCCTGGACACTGCCAGGGATGGGGCAGCCACAGCTTCCCTGGGCATCCTGTGCCAGGGCCTCAGCACCCTCCTGGGAAGGATTTCTTCCCAGTATCAAAGCAATTCCCCCTTGTCCTGTCACTCCCAAGGGACAGGATGGGTGCTGGGAGCCCCCAGTCCCTGTACAGAGAGCTGAGAGGAGAGGATCAGGTCCAGGAGACATTTCAGATCATGGACACATGAATCACCTAAAATCATGTGCCTGTTCGCACTGTGTTCCCAAACTGGACACCTTAATTAGCTGCCTGGAGTTAGGGGGAATTAATTTGGGTCTAAATGCATAAAATTCTGAGGTGAAGAGGACGTTGAGCTCAGGAACACAGGGATGAGGATGGTGGTGTGACAATGATGAGCTATCCCTGAGCAGACAGATGAAATGGCCTTTCACAGGTTTTTCTCTCCCTGGAACAGAAATCCCAACTGTGCAATTCCTCATGTGTCTGAGAGGCTGAGCATATTAATGAGGAACTCAAGAGGTGCTTTAGTAGGTTGGTGCCATCCTGTTGCATGGGAATTTTATGTGATTTTTGCAGATAATAAGGAAAAAAGTGAAATGTGTTGGTTGGATCATTGGGAATACTTGCTTTGATTTCTGTGGGCCGTCAGAACACACTGAGGTTGGATGTGGAATGACTTTGTGAAGGGAACTGGTTTGGAGAGATGACATTTGGAGGGATGGTATTTAGAGGAACCCGGGAGCCCTGTGTTCTCCACAAACTTTCTCACAATTTACAAGCAAATGGATCCCATGTTCACCTCCTTCCTGCATAGTTAGAGGGGATGAAGTGTCATCTGCTAGGACAGGACAGGATGAACAAGTTCTGGATAATGTCTGTGCACTCCTTCAGGCTTTGAAAGAGCCTAAAGTTCCTCAATGAAAGTGGCTTTTCCCAGTAGGGATTTTCCCCAAATTATTTGAGACTTCATCTACTTGAAAAGGTTATTTTTGGAACCTGAAGTCTACAAAATAAATGTTCCTGGGAGATGAAAAAAGAGATTCAGAATTTAGATACCATTGTTAGAATGTTTCTGGATTTAGACATATTTTCTTCTCTTTGTTTTCTCCTTCTCCATGGAAAGGAAGAACGTCAGAGATTGTATCCTTTCTGTACCACTGCTCCCTCCATGCAAGACTCCTGGAGAAGACTGCCTCAAGTGGATTCCTGTCTTCTGTCCAGTAACTCTGCTCACTGCTGGGTCTGTGCTCCTGAATTTTCTGTCATTGTCATCCACAGGAAGCACTACTGGGACCACGTCGCTTCCAATGGAAGATGTTTGGTGCAGGTTTAGCTGGGATTTGCTCCTCATGGGCTCTGCTCCTGCAGAAGCCCTGCAGTCATGATTTAGCCCCCCTGCAGTCATGATTTAACCCATTTTCTTCAGAAAGGAGGTTAAAAATTGCATTTATGGACTGGTGGACACACCCCCTTCATCACAGCTCACAGGCAGCTGACACAGCTACCAAGGGGTAGTAAAAGCAGCCCTCAGCAGTAACTTCCTCCTCTCTTACAGTAAGTTACCCCACCTTTACTCCTGCCAAGATCCAAGTAACCTCCAAGGAGGAGACACCCTTGGCTCTGGAGATTTCCATGCTTAGAACCTATCTAGTAATTTTTTTTGCTCCACCTTCCTTCAACTGGAAAAACCCCCAAACCTGGTTCTGTGTTAATAAAATGAGCTGCTCTGGGAACTGGAATCCATCCACGGCGCGTGGGTGGGTTTAGAAGCGGGATGGGCAGTTCCTGTAAAAGATGCCTGGGATGAAATCCCTGCTTGGAGATATTTGTAGGATTTGAAAAAGTCTGGGGGAGAGAGGGGAGTGAATTAAGGCTGTTTCTTAGGAATTTGCATCTCAAAGCTGAGCTCAGACAGGTATGGAGCAAAGCATTTCCATGCTGTGGGCAGGAGCAAGGCCTGGCTGCTGCACAGAGCCACCTCTTCTCCAAACACAAGTTTGATGGAGTTTGCCAACTCTCTGTCAGCTTCCTCAAGGCTGACTGAGAAGTGTAGAAGTAGTCTGGGGCAGTGTACACATGCATCCCCCCTGCTTCCTCAGGCTAACGGATGCCCCACTGCAGTCCAAATAAAATTCCTTAAAAAGGGAACTAAAGCCAAGCCTGAAACAGCAGGCTTTTATCCCAGGCCGTGGTGTTCACAGCCTCAAGTTCCTTCCTGAACCCTCCCCACAGCCAGGCATAGCTGGACCATTCAGTATAAAGAGGGAGTGCAGTGTATTTTGGGGTTACTGGGAAATGGTGTTTTTATGGAAGAGACCCCACCTCATTGCTATGAGAAATCCTTAACAACAGTTCTCAGCTGTCATCGCTTCCCTTACACATCCTGCTCTATGTAAATGGGGTTTATTACATCTTCTACTTCTTGGCAACTCTTGCAATGATTATTTACAAAAGTAAGTTGCGAGTATTGTCCCCAGAGCAGGCTGTGCTGATGCACAGCTGAGTTTTGTCCTGCTGTGTCTTCCTGCTTTATTTACTCTGGTTTATTCTCCAGGTCAGGTTTTCAGTTATCCAGATGATTTTTTGGCTCCTGATCTTGCCGTGCTTTTCCTTATGGCCATTCTGGAAGTGCCTCGATTGTACTTGGGTAGGTCATGTTATCAGTGCAACTGGATTGTAATCTGTAAACATGAATCATTTGGAAATGGGGGCTGTCAGTTGAGCAGATATTTGGAGACCCCTGCACCTTTCCTTTCTCCCCTGAGGACACCTGCAAGCACCAACACCTTCCTTTCACTAAGACAGAAGGGTGGGGAGAGCCTCCTGACCTTGTCCAAAGCTTGCTAAAACTTCTTCAAGTCAAATTTTTAAAAAACCCAAATTACTATTAAAATCTGCTTAATATTCCAAAGGCATATTAAGGATGCAGGGTGGGGCCCTTGAATCAATCTGAGTGGCTTTAGAGCTGGATTTATTCCACTGCTTTAAATCTCTGTGTATTTATGGAGCCTGATCCATGAATAAAGAGGTAGGTTTCAACTCCAGTGTAGTTAAACACCAAAATCTACTGAACTGAGCTTGGAAATAAGCTGCACAGAAGAGAGGACAGCTTCTCCACAATGTCAGTCATCTGGAACAGGAATAGATTAGAAGGAAATAAGACTTGAAAATGAGGACTAGACTCCAGGAGTGCACCGAGGTCACCACATTGAGTGCAGGGCTGAAGGGCTCAGGAAGAGTTTGATGGTTGAAGCTGAGTGCTCAGAACGATGCAGCTTCAGAACTGATTCTCTGTGGTAAGAAGAGGTTCCCTGGCTGTGATTATCAACTGATGAACTTACTTAGATTAACTTTGGTCAGTTTTCCTGTTTTGAAATGGATTGTCCATTGATGTTGGGCTTGTTGTTTGATTCCTGGCAGAGCTTTGATTCAGGCTGGTATTTCAATACATTTTGAGCTTTTATAGGATTCAGTAAGAGCAAAGTCACAACTGGGGCCTTTTTTGAGCAGGAATATTTTCTAGTTACAGCTTGAGCTGTTTTGGACTTTTGGTTTCTGTTTCCTTGCAGGTTTCAAGGGTAACCTGACGGAAGCAGAGGGGCCTCTGGGGCTGAGCCTGGGGCTGACGGTGGGCAGCGTGCTGCTGTGTGTGTACCTGCTGCTGTGGCAGAGCTACGTGCTGTGGGCAGACGTGCTCCTCAACGCCGTGCTGCTCGCGGCCTACGCGCTCGAGTCGGGGCTCAAGGTCACGGCCATCGCTGCCTTTGTCAGCTGAGCCCGGCCCTTCCCACACCCTGCCACACATTCCTTCTCAGAGAGAGTGGGGCTTCATGTCCACTGCTGAATTCCTTTGTATAGAAAAACCCTGGAAAGCTTCTCTCTGGTTAAATGAGAAGTTTTGGGGACATAGATGTCCCGCCCAGGAGCTCTGTTCACCACTGGCTTATTTATGGGCAAAGGCAAGGGGTGAATCACAAAATACTTAACACTCTGGCATTCAGCAGGGGTCAGCACTAAATATCCATTCCCAGCACAGGACAGGAGGCAGTGCTGCTGGCATGGTGGCAGTTTTCATGGCACAGGAGCGACATGCAGCCCAAGTGACACAGAAATGAATCAGGCCAGGGCTCACTTGTGCCTTGCCACGCACACGTCCGTGTTTGAGGGCACAGCTGCTCTTCTGCTCTCATTTGTGTTTCCAGACCTCAGTGGTAATTTCCCTGACTTTAGTAGGGCAGAACCTGATGTATCCCAGCGGGGGAGAGTGGAACTGGGTTTTGTGCATACTTGGAGAGCCAAGCCACAAGGTTTGGCAGCCAGTTCTTACTATGTGAGGGGATGTTTGGTTAGACAGGATGGCTTTAAAATGAACAAAACCATTCACCATTCATTCTCCCTTCTGTCCTGTTTGAAAGTCCAACAGAATGTTGGCAGTTTTATTTCTATTCAGTGCTTATTTCTACTATTTTGCAAAAATTACTATATTCAAGTCTATCTTAACTTCTAACTGGTGCAAGTGCAGAGTTTTTTATTGTCTCAAAAATATGTGTTAATGGAAAGCTTTGGGAGTTCCTGGGTTTTTGAAGAAGCCCCTTTTATATTCAGAATTTCCTATTTTTGTATTTATTTATTCATTCAAATAAATAATGGTGTAGATCTAAGGAGTGTTTGAAATGCAGAACAATCTTGTTCAGATCTTGGGCTCCAGCTAAGTCATCCAAAGGAAGACTTGGGCAAGCCTGGATGTGTGTGGAAGCCTCTTCTGATCCTGATCCTGCTGCTGTGTGTGACCCCTTCTCCTGCCCTGGGAAGGTCTGAGCTAATTTGCAATCACCAGGGGATGAAAACTGTGGGGTGCAGGCCTGTGGCACCTCAGCCACACTGCTCTTTGCTTTCTGGTGGGGGTGGAAAGGCACAAAGACACACAAGTTCTGTGGAAGGGCCCAATTTCATCCCTCAGTCATTCAGTGCTTGGACTTGATCATCACAGAGGGCTTTTCCAACCTTAAGGATTCTGGTATCTAGAGGGGCTTACAAGAAAGAGAGGGACCTTTCACAAGAACATGTAGTGACAGGACAAGGGGAAGTGGTGTCAAGCCAAAAGAGGATTGGTTTCGATGAGATACCAGCAAGAAATTTGTGACTCAGAGGGAGCTGAGGCCCTGGCACAGGTTGCCCAGAGCAGCTGTGGCTGCCCCTGGATCCCTGGAAGTGTCCAAGGCCAGGCTGAATGGGACTTGCAGCAATGTGATTTAGTGGAAGGTGTCCCTCCCTTGGCAGGGGAATAGGAGGAGATGAGGTTTAAAGTCCCATCTAACCCTAACCTTTCTACTCCCAGGCCAGGTAACAGCAAGTTCTGTTCACATTCCACCACCTGGCAGTCACAGTCAGAGTCCCCACTGGCACAAATCCCCTTGGACAGGTCCTGCTAAGCCAGAGCCCAGCCAGCCCTTGCTGTTCCCACAGAAACATCACAGCAGAACTGGGGCTAAGGAGCACCCAGGAAATGGAACAACCAAATGTTTATGGGCTTAATCTGCCTGAATGGAGCCCCCACCTATTTGTCCTCCCAGATTTGCTTGGCATGATGGAATGTGCCATCACATGCTTGTTCCAAGGAGTGACCAACATACCGAGCTGTCCCTGCCCCATAAACGATCAAAGCACACAAGCAAAACTCTTCCTGGATGGGCACAAAAAAAAGCAAACTTTTCCTGGTGTTTGCACCTGCCTTACACGAAGGTCTGCCCACAGAACAACTGACAGGTTCTGAAAGGAATATTGCAAAGTGGAATTTTTACCTGAATGCAGGTGATACAGCAAACAGGGTCACACAGGTTAATGTTGAGTCACAGCTCCTGTGCTTCATCTTCTTGAGTGATCACCACAAACAAAATAAACACAAAATATGAATTATAAAACATGGTGAACCCTTTGCTCCCTTCCCATCACCCGGGTGAAAAACAAGGATCAGCAGAGAGTGGCAGTACTTGGTGATAGTGAGGCATGGGGTAAATATGCACATAGGACAACAAACATTAATTTTTTGGCTCGTTTCAGGGCAGGGCCTGATGGCTGCAACTGCTCAGAGCCCTGACTGGCTGTCAGTGCCTGCTAGGCTCAACTGGCACCAACCTGGACTTGCATTCTCGCAAGGGCAGGACAGCTCTGGTTGCAGTTTTCCAATTCCAGATAAAATTGTCCATGAACTCTTGTGGGGTACTGCTGCTGCTGACAGCCCTGTGCTCTATGATGAAAGATGAAGCCTGGAAGCTTCATCTTGGGAACTCCATCCCAAGTATTTCCAGGCTTTCAATGGGAATTGTCATTGTATTGGTGTCCCTTATTTCATGGTGGCATCTCTTGATGCCGAGGTGGTACAAAGACCCAAAATGAATCAGCTTCAGGAAGTTTCCCTAACCAGCAGCTCCTTTCCAAACCGTTCCCAGTGCTTGGAGAAGCAGGGCACACATAGTGAAGCCATTGATGACATTTGCCAGACATACAATCGCTGGAGCTTTTAATTACAAGGCCCAGCCCTTCTGAAACAGGACAAGCAAGTTGGATGCAAACAGCATTAAAAATTTAGAGGAACACATATTTTGAGGAGCTGGGTTTGGGTGGTGTTTACTCGACAAGTCTTTGTTCTCCAGCCATCACAGGGGTGTCTGCCGCCAACCTGATTTAAAAGGCTGATCCTGAGAGGCAAGTCAGCCTCCCGGGATTTCCAAATTGGAGATACTGGGAGATAGGGTGTTATGGGTCCATGACTTTATGATGTCTCTCTGGAGATAGGGTGTTATGGGTCCATGACTTTATGATGTCCCTCTGGAGTGGCCTGGTGCTCCAGTGAAGGAGGGAGGTCAAGGACATGCACTCACTCAATTGATTCCACACCTGGGAGCCACGCCAGGAACCACCACCACACCACAGGGTGATTTCCTCCTGCCAAACCATTCCATGATTCTGCAGTTGCCTCTGGCCCACCCCCACCGGCACCAGCTGTCAGGTGGGACAGCTGGGAAGGTGTAATAAGCTCTGCTGTGGTTTTCTTCCCTGCCCAGAGGAAAAGTTGCTGCCTCTGCAGAGCAGCTAAGAGATTTGCTGTGGGGCACAGCAGTTCACAGTAGCCCTGTCCTCATTGTGAATGTGGAGCTGGATAGGAAGCAGTGCCTTAAAACACCATCCTGTCAGCTCCCTGTTTGCATCCCAGGAAAGTCAGCCCAGCCCAGCCCAGCAGTCCTGCTGAAATACCCCCGTGATGCATTTTAGGGAGCGGGGATCTCCTGCACAAAACCTTCTGGCTGCTGAGGCTCAGAAGCCTCCAGCACAGCTGACATTCCCACTGCATTTCTCTTGTGTTGGACTGATATCCCTTCTGCCTGCTACAGCAGGCATTCCCTAAATCCTGCCTTTCCTAGGGCTGGCCATGTTTTCACAATCTGTCCCCGGGGATCCTGGCGAGGAGGATGACGGGGCGCTGGGTGGGAGTGTCACAGCGAGTATCGGTTCGTGTTCTCCCGCAGCAGGAGCGGTCGTGGTGCTGTCAAAGCCGAGCTGCCGAAATGCCGGCTGTCAGTGGGGAGCTGCTCTCCCCCTGCCCGCCCGGCTCCCCCGGCTGTCAGCCCGGAGCTGCTCTCCCCCTGCCCGCCCGGCTTACCCGGCCGCATTCCTCCCACAGGAACTCACCGGGGCGGCTCCTCCGGGCGTGCGGCGCCTGGACCCGGGCCAGGCCCTGCGCTGGGCAGAAGCCCCTCAAAGAAACCCACGGCAGCGGGGAACTCAGCAAATGTCAAGCTAAGGAGTTTGGGCTTCTCCTAGACCGCTGTCCTGAGGGGGAAACTTTTCCTTGTTTCTTTCCCTAGTGTCGCAGTTACAGCTGTTTCCTCGCAGGGCCAGCAACACGGGGTCTCACTTCACACGGACATGGCAGGGGTTCAACACACAGCGTGGGCATGGTGGGGATACCTGCACTTCCATAAAAACACTCCCAAATCCTCCGTTTTGGGAGAGGAATGGCTAACCAGAATGATCCCACCCTGCCATGGACACATCGGTACGACCCAGCTGATAACTTCCCTGCCAAGCACACCTTCCTCTATCCCAGGTTGTTCCAAGCCCTGACTTTGAACAATTCCAGGGATGGGGCAGCCACAGCTTCTCTGTGCCAGAGCCTCAGCATCCCCACCGGGAAGAATTTATTCCAAGTATCCCATCTAAACTTACTGTCTTTCATGGAGGAGCTGGGGCAAAACGAGGGGTTTTATGGCCACATAACCCCAAGGAGTGCAGTGCCACAGAGCGGGTACCCCAAAGGGGACTCTGCTCCTGATTGCTTTGGGGAGTGTGAGAGAAAGGACGCTTTGCCTTTTCCCTCCGTCTCCCAACACCTTTCCTTGCCGCAGACGTCGAGACGGAGAGCAGGCAGGGGCGATGCTGGAGGAAAACAAGCGGCGAGCCAGCGCTGAGGAGAGCCCTGGGCTGCACAAAAGGTGCCTTGTTCCCCCCATGAGGCGGTCGGGCAGCGCGTCCCCTCCCTCACCGGCGATGGAAAACTGAGCTCCAAGCACTCCTTCACCTCCCCTCGCCACCTTCACCCTTCCCATTGGGTACAAAATGTTCTCGGGAGCAAGCAACCCGAAGTTTAACACGTCCCTCCTGGGCTCTTGGTCGCCTTGCCTGGGGAGTGGGCGAAGGCTGCGGCAGCCCCCGGCGCTCCCGGGGCCAGCGGCTCCTGGTTATACAGTAACCTGTTGCTCCGGGTCCCAGCTCCACCTCTCGCTGCCTCCACATCCCTCCCCTCCTCTCTCCTCTGCCAAGGAACCTCTGTCACCTGCTCTCAGACACCCGCAGCGAGCGGCACCGGCAGGAAAGGGCAGCGGGGAGCCACGGCAAGGCTACCCCTAGCCGGGGTGCCGGGTGGGCTCTGCCTCCCACTCCCTCTCCTTCAGCCTTCGGGGCATCGGGCTCACAGCCTGTGCAGGCAGGACACGGAGCTTGACTGCTGGAGAATGGCAGCAGGATTTAACTAGGAAGGCACGGGAAACCGGGAGAGAACTCACGGGAGCCGAGCGAACTGCGGGAGACGAGAGCGGCTTCTCAGCACCGGTGAGTCCCTCTTTGCAAATCCTAAAATTTCATCCCCCTCCCCAGCTTTTATCCACTTCAAAAGTCTGTCTGATTCTGCTGTGGAGGGAGAATGGCTGGAGAGGGGTTGTGGCTGGGAGAACTATCAGTGTAGTTTTCTGTTGTTTTAGTTAAAAAATATGAAAAAACGTACTTTCCCCAGCATTGTGTTTTCTGAGTTTTTTCCCCGTCCTGGTGATTCCCCACCTGCTGAGATCCAGTAGGTGGCACTTTCTTGGCAGCAAAATGTCCATTTGGCACAGAACGAGGCATTTTTTCTGTTCCTAATGAAGTCTAGAGACGTAGTTTTGAGCAGCTGTTTGTATGCAAACCTCGGGGTTTCCTCTTTTGGGGAAATGTGTAGAATTTCAGGCCGTTCCCCTCCGGGCCCCTCAAAGAGCTGCTGGTTTTGGTGGGCCAGCTCTCCTTACTCCTCGTCTTGGTAGGATTTGCCACCCGATTTCAGCACTGAGGGAAGCTCGGAGCTGCCCTGTTCCCTCTCGTGACAGCT